ATTCTGGTATGATAAAGTGAACATTAAAATTAACAAGTCCATAAGTTATGAATGAGCACCATTATTACTTTTCAAAATGTCATCAGTCATGCTGGTCAATTTTTCAGATATTAGCCTCTCATTTATGTCACATAATAACATGTTCACTTTGTCTGGTTTTGTTGCAGCATGCCCCATATAATATTGAAATTTTTACTTAAACCTAAAAAGAAAATTAATTTACTTAAAGTAAATGACAATATTCAGTATTTTCTCCATTTGCAGCAATCACAGCTTGAATTTTGTTGGAGTTTTGCGTTCCTTTATTAGTTGCACCTACGATTGAACGCTAATACTAAAGGTGTTCTTGCACTAAAAAGGCCTTGAATTTTGTTGGAGTTTTGCGTTCTTTTATTGTCTACACCTACGATTGAACGCTAAAGGTGTACCCTTGATAATATCAAGTATGGTATATTTTCCGCGGATGCAGATACATCCTTTTTTACTGATCATATTCTGCGAAGGTATAGTAGAAAAACCGTGCGCGATCATTCTGCGATTGTTGCGTTCTTGTGTCTAACTAGTTTTTTTACCGTGATTATGAGGAATAAGCTCCTTAGCGAGACCAATTTATGCGCCAAAGCAGAAAATTGAGTTTTTTACTAATTTATTATTCTGCTCATCATGACACGTTATATGGGGCAGACTGCAACAAAACCAGACAAAGTGAACATTTGATGTGAGGTAAGAGGCTGATGTGGCTGGAAATGCACTATTTTTAGTGACATTTTAGACCTATTACTACGTTATAAAAGAATGCGACTAGCATCCGCGAATTCACTTTCACCAAACATCATCAACGTATTTTCAACTTACACAAAAAGACTGTATGTACGTACATGATTTCCTTTAATCACAAGCGAGACACTTGCACTATCTCAAAAAAGCTTTTGTCCAAATAAACATGGTTCGTTGTAACGTCTTCTGACAAGAATCTGCGTTGTAGATACAAATGCTAATATTATATCATAAAAGATAAAATGCAAAACACTCAAAAAATTTAATTTCAACAATGTCAACTTGTCCAAGGAGCAAGCAGAGGAATAGGACGAGCATTAGTTTGCACTCTCCTCCCTACGATGTAATAGCAACATGTCGCGACCGTCTATTCGTTTATAAGCTAAAGAAAGCACTATCGTCAATTGTTCTGAACAAGTGAAAAAGAACCACGGAGAAAAGCCATTAAGATTGTTGATAAATTCTGCTGGAATGTTACATGTGGAAGAATCGCTGGATCAAATCAACGTTGATTTAATGGCCGAAAACTTTCAAACTAATGCTACTGGTAGTTTGTAAAGTTATTGGATATGGATTTGGAGGCACACCGCGAGGAGCAGAATGAAGTTGGAGATTCAATGGATTTATTGCCGAATTCGCAATTGTTGCCAACATTTCAACTGTACAAACATCAGAGAGACGCTTTACAGTGCGCAATTATCGCTCTAACCGATCGATTCTTCATAGGTATTCGTACAGAACTTTGCCTTCATACGTTTGCTGTTGTTGTTTTTTTGTACCTCTCTTTTATTTCACATCTGACCGATATTCTACAGAGCTGCTTTAAACCAATTGACACGATCGAATTTACACATCGCAAACAAAATGTAATATCTGTTGCACTCTATCCTGGCATAGTTGATACTGATCTATCGAGACAATATCTCAAGAAGAAACAAGCGATAATGTATTTACACCAGATCAAAGTGCAGGATACCTAGTAAACGTTATTAAAAATTTGAAGCTAGGCGACTCGGGATATCTACTCACATGGGATGGAAAGAAGACAACTTTTTAATGAAAATATAAAGAGACATTAATTATCATAACATCTAAAACTATTTCGAAGTTGCAAGAATGAGAAATTCTCCAAGACGGATTTATTAATCAACTCTGGATCTGGTTTGTTTTGTATGTGATAGACTTGAAATCATATGGTGATGACGGTTTTCAAATGTACCATCCGATAAACAATCAACCCGGCTTTAGTGTGTTAGTTTTGAATATACTGTATCTTGAATTTACTCATAAAAATTATCTAATTAAAAGGCATATTATGCAAACTCGAGAATAAGTTTTATTGTATATAAATTTCACTCGAAACTCGATAAAGCGCAAAAGCAAGCCTTTCAAAAATTGTGAAATCTGGCTGTTACAAGCTTCGCGGTCAATTACCGCGGTCTTGCAGCTCGAGCCGTGGCTGCCCTTTAAAATAAATATTAATACAATTAAATATACTTTTAATCGAAAGACTATGACGAATACAACAATTATGTTTATTAACTTACTTGGGTTCCAAATTTCTACCCAAAGCTTTCTCGAGGGCAGGTTTCTAGGCTGTATCCTGCTCATTGAATCAGCTGCCCTCGTAACCCACGATGGAGTTATGTCAGAGCGTGTATAGAGGCCCAAACCTGGCATCTCATGACATCGTTGATAGAAGATGCGAGGGCGGTATAGCCTCATCCGCTAACCAATGATCAGTCACCTGCAACCTGTTTGCCCTTTCTTCTCGGCATATCCGCCGCCACCGATGGTACCAGGACAAGAGTTGTCTTCTGTCGTCTCACCTCGGCAGGTCTCGCCAGTGCTGAAAATCTTCGAGGCGCCTCGTGTACTCTTGGCGTCGAGCGTTTTCGGTACGGCGCTTCCGCCAGTATGGTGTAAACCTAATGTAGAAAGATAATAAAAAAAATAGTTGACTTAAATACAGGAACACATTGTTCTGAAGGAAGCACTATACTTGTAAATACACTACGTACGTATTGCATCTTTGATTTGGTATCAGAGCTTTGTGGGTCTTGAACCTTTTGGCGTTTTTAAGCTCAAATTCGATTTCACCATTTTGCCGCTTATCTGGAATGATGCTATTAATTTATCTTGTAAGTAATCAATAGAAAAACCAAGACCTCAACAGTAATATAATGCATACCAGTAAGCAATTTTAATATTTTCTTGCGGCAAATTTCTACTTTGTAAGAATGATGGTTGGTAATGTCCTTGACCAGCAGAGATAATACTGGTTAGGTGACAACACGTTAAAAACAACTCGATACGACCAGCGTATCAAAATATCGCTTCCAAATGGAAGCGAGAGTAGCGGGTTTATTATCTGTCTCTCGCTAGCTGTGTTGCCACAACCAAACTTGGAACGAAAAAGTCGTTGGAGTTAAAAGTCATAGTGAAAGTGAGAAAGACCGCTTATTATCTAAAGAGTAAAAAGCGTAAAGCGCGTTCTTTGTTTACAGGGGGTATTTATTAAAAAATTTTTTGTTTCACGTAATATTCCGCAGTTGAGGTGCGCGACTTCATTACGTCGTCATAATTAATTCACCATCGGGGATCTCAAAAAAAAAGGTGATTATATCAAATTGTACCTATATAGAGGTATTTTTTCATAAGATTTATATTAAATGTATGTGACTATAAAAATTTTGTGCTTATATAGAGGGCGTTTTTATATAGTTGGTTTTTGAAATATGGGGATTATATCAAGGGTTTCATATGATGTGACTATATCGAGCTTCAAATTTTCTGCAGATACTGGTATTCGGCCTTTTTCAAATTTTTCGATTCTGTAAGCGGGTTTAACTATTAACATGTACAAGCTTACGCATAGGGATAAAAGTAAAACAACTAGTAAAATAGCAACAGACGGGGGAAACGGTCTGTTTGCGCTCAATATATATATATATATATATATTTATTTATTTATTTAATATTCTATGCCTAATCTTCATAATGACTGGGAAGTTTGTGTACAAACCAAGTGTGCGTTGCGCTTATTATGTTTAAGAAAGTAATGCTTTATCGTCGCCTCTTTTTTTAATTTGAAATGTGTTCAAGTACCAAGTCTATTATTATATTGTTTATTAAATCCCATATCCAACATTTTCCGCAGCACCAACTTGATGTCCATGTCAAAGCCATTATTAGTACATCTGCGACGTTAGCTTTTATCTCACATAGAAGCATTGAATTTGCATAGTGGGATGCCAATGCATCCTTGGCTTACAATAAGAATTAAAAGGAAGAAAATATAATCGGGTTTGGGGGACTCTTTTGGAATATCTCTTTAGAAGTGTTATAATTACTTCACAGATTGGGGGCAACTATTATTAGGACAAGGACGACATCAGTACAGGAGCATAATGAATATAGCCCCATTAAATATAACGAGTTGAATTACTTCCCTTAGAACCTGAGACGTTGTATAGGGAATATTTGACGAAACTTTCGTTCAACAGATTGATATCTCAAATATTCAAGCTGTAGACGTGTAATTCGGTTAATACACGTTTTGCACTTCTGAGGAATTGGATAATTTCTAACGCCATGTCATTCACATAGCTCTGGTTGAAACAGCATGGTTGAAACGTTGATGGCACTAATAAACAATTCTCGAAAAGTAACACATTTTTTTGCTTGTATAATTAATGATAGGAAATGATAAGAGGTTTACACGTTTATTATGCAAAATTTTTGAGAAATTACTCAACCATTTTGTTAGATAATATGTACATAGTGTAAAAACCATCACTAATTTTATTTACAAACCAGCAGATGCCTTAGCAATCATGTTTATACTATCAACTAGCATCTATATAGTTTCTAATCTATTACCCACCCCTCCCCCCTCCCCCAGAAAGCCACAAGTTTAATTTACAGTCTCAATTCCAAAAATGAATAACCAAACACTTACATATTCGATCTGCCTGATTTTCATAGACGATTGCTCACGGAAAGTGTCCTCTTAACTATTCGAAGAGCCCAATATTTTATTCTTGTAACTCAACACAACTCTCTTTCCTTCGACTCCCATCTTTACACTCGAACTCATTTCCTCCAACAATTTCTCAGCCGTTATATTCCACATAAATACTTCACATCTATTCCCTTCATCGGTCACGCTAATCATTGCCATTGGCCATGGTGACGCTGTATAATGTCGGATAGCACCCTTTGTAAATCCATTCCGAACCGAAAGGATTCCAAGAGTACCTGCCGACTCTCGACTCAACACGCCTTCGAATTCTCGAACGACATTTGGTTTACATCGACTCGACCCGCTTTTACATTGTCCAACTAGATATATTTTTTTGTCGGGGAGTAACCAGTATCCACGAAAATCTACTCCACGGTCATCACCTCCCCCACAATGACGGCTGATAATGTTGAAATGATTTTCAAGGCAATGCATAGTTTCGTATTCGTATAGCGTGCCACGATATACATAATTGGATGTGTCTTGGTGAGTGCGGGAAAGAAAAGTTTGAAGGTTTGTACGGGAATAAGAGTGAGAAGTGGAAGAGAGCAATGAGGACGGAGGTGAAACATTAGATGTTGTTGGAGAAGCCGGTTCCATTGAGGAGCTGTCCTGAGGCTTTGATTTCTTTGGTCGGATGCTTTCTGCATTATCACATTTGGATGTAGAAGAAACATGTCTGCTAACTAATAATGACCGATTTGGTATAATTGTAGTGAGAAGACTAGGTCTACGCGTTGAGAACCCAAGCAGGACACTGTCCTGCCTGCAAATTCTTAATTCAGCATGAATACATAATCCTCGGGAGATAGTATTCAGGGACATTCTATGTTTACACTTCCGAGTATGCACACACGTGCGAGAAGTTGGTTCTATGTCGAGTCAAACTCTTTTTCAAAAAAAGGATCGGATTGTATCACTTGACACTGTCACGGGCTGTGTTACACTTTATTGGTATGTATTTACTTTTGTTGAGAATTACAGGATAAAGGATAAAAATTTTCTTTGTCTAAATGATTGAATCTATGAAAATGTTCCCAATGACATGATGCTTCCAAAACCTTTTATTTTAGATTTTAACACCCTTTGCCAGATGCTTTTTGTATGCTTCAATACTTGCATTCCAAGGTGTAACTGTCTTGTTACCACACACCCATATTTCCTCAGCAACTTGGGAAATCAATCTAAAGTCGTGGGATACTAAGACAACTCCGCCCGAAAAACTTTTTATGGCATTTGCTAGTGAATCTATGCTTTCCATATCCAAGTGATTTGTCGGTTCGTCCATAAGGACTATGTCGGGGACGGATAATACAAGTTCAGCGAATACAATTCGAGATTTCAAACCATCACTCAAAGTCTTGATCGGCGACGTTTGCTGTGCTCCGGAAAGACCATAACGGCCAATTTGACTTCGCCAGTACTGTGGAAAGACGAACGTGAATATATGTCGTAAATGTAAATATGCCACTCTTACGCAAATCGAATACTTACGTCCGTGTCTCCCTTAAGATGAGCAAACTTTCGTCTCATATATTGAATAGGACTCAATTCAAGATCAAGCTGATCAGCACTGTGCTGACTGTATTTGGCTAGTTTAAGATTGGTATGTCTTGCAATGCGGCCTTTCGTTGGCTGGAGTTCTCCCATCATCAATTTGAGGAGAGTACTATGGAATAGACACCAATATAAGCTATGTATACAAACTGTTACGTCACGGACAATTCAATAACATACCTTTTCCCAGTACCATTTGGACCAACTAACGCCACGCGAGAGTCCATATCTACAGCCAAATCAAGTTCATCATAAAGGTAATCTTTCGGAAGACCACTGTACGAGAAAGATACTTGATCAAACTGCAAAACTGGTGGAGGTAATTTGGGTACATCATTAAACTTGAATTTGAAGGTAGATTCTGTCTCGACCTGCAAAAAAAACCCCCCGATAAATATCGCAATTATTTATCATATTATGACTTAACATTTACATATAATATCACAGTTTATCAAGTAAATGGATCCAAACCTTCTCTATAAGACCAGCTGCTTCCATTTTATCGATAATCTTTTGCTTACTCTTGGCTTGTCTGACCTGAAAAAAAAAAGTCGAACCACAATTAACAGCCAATCCAATACATAATACAATAAATACAATCTTGAATTGCATACCAAGTTGGCGTAGGTACCGGCTGAAGCGATAAATTTCTTAATATGCGCTATCTCATCTTGTTGCTTGTGGTAGGCTTTCATTTGATTGGTTTCCTGTTTTCAAAAAGATTTTAAACCAATGTGCAAAAGCCCTTTAAAAAGACACTTGCAATGAAATGAAAATGTCATTACCTGTTCTATTCTCGTACGCACATACGTATCGTAGTTTCCACCGTAGTAAATCAGTTTACGTTGTTGGGTGAGACTGGATAGAGGACCATAAAGACATGAAATTCGTTAAGCAAGAACGATATCAAGACAGCCATCATCAACTTTACCGTTGAATAGTACTTACTGTATAATATTCGTGCAAACACCATTTAAGAAATCCTGGGAATGTGAGACGATAACCAATATACGGTTATAGCTTTTGAGGTATTCTTCTAACCAAACACAAGCTTCTAAATCCAAGTGGTTGGCTGCAAACAAAATTTGACACGTTTTTAACAAATCTATAATAAATATGTCCACACATGTTGCACCACTCTCAACAATTCCAGTACATACTTGGTTCATCGAGCAACAACAAGGTAGGCCGAATAAATAGAGCCTTTGCAAGTGCAACCCTCATCCTCCAACCACCAGACATGTCTTTCGTCTGTTTTCTCATCATCTCTTGAGAAAAGCCAAGACCATTGAGGAGGCTAGCCGCGCGTGCCTCAAAAGTAGATTCATCCAAAGCAGATATTCGATCATATAAATCCTCAAGCCGAGGGTCATCTGCTCCATCTTCCGTGGCAAGAATATCTTCAACCTCTCGTTCGAGACTATAATAATGTATATGACAGAATGAGCGATTTTCCTAGTTTTCATGAAAGAATGGAAAAGACGAGACATTACCGTTGGACTTCCTCTTTCGCTGCTTTCACAACATATTCTGTAGCATTCACGTCAGACGGATCTGCCTCATGGTTTAGCAAATGAATCTATGGTGATTTATCGGGGATCAATTGGAGATCAGAACATGACGGTCGTAAAAAATGGGACAGTGAAATAAAAAGACAGAGTATTACATCGATATGTGACGGTATCTCAACTTCTCCTGCAGCGAGTGAAACCAGGAATGTACTCTTGTTTTCAAAACATGTCGGAATCATTAGTAAAAATAACGAGCAAAAAGAAACGACAACTCGGTTTGTTTAAATACATACTTTTCCAGCTCCGTTTTGAGCAATAAGTCCATATCTAGAAAACATTAAACCTCATGAATTTTGCTGGTCTGTCAAAGAACTTGCAAACTGGAGATGTCCAGTTCTCTTGCATAGACTTACCGCCGGCCAAAGTTCAACTCGATTGTGGCATTTTCAATCAACACTCTACCAAAGAAAGATAAATTATATTGCCCAATCTTTACATCTCGAGACAGCGGGTGTGATTCTAATACACCGGTAGCGGTTCTTTCGCTAGATATTTTCAATGAATCCAGCGATAGTCCGTTAGCATCTGAGGTTTCATTTACAGTTGAGGTACCGTTAGCAGTATTTTTGGGAGCAGCTGCCTTGGCTGCTTTTTTTGCTTGACGCTTCTGTTTAGAAGTAGACATATCTTATTGGATCTATTAAGAAGGCTGTTGTTAAGAGATTTTGTACTTTTGTCTATGAAGAGGGTGGATAGCAAAAAAAAAAAAAAACCAACTAACTTCTACAACTGTCATAGCATAGAAGCAAAAATTTTGATGGATCGGGGCATACCGGATGAACGAAGGGCGCAGCAGACTATGCCCGTGATTGGCTTGTAGAGAATGTGTCAGACAGAAGAAAGCCCATGACGATACAGTCATGAGACAATTGGGTGTGGCGTCAAATTTATGGCGGGCCTGACATCATTTATGCAAGGCAAGTAATCACCGAAAATTAGTTCAAGGTCAGCCCTGTGATATCTGGTATATAAAAAGGTCCACAGGTTATCATTATCATATAACTCTCTCTGCTAACAACCAAACCCGCGTATTTTATTGTCATATCAAGTCACTCGATTACAAAATGTCTGATCAAACCTCTCAGTCAACTACACCCGACGACGCTTCGGAACAAGAACAATCGATAATAAAGACTCAAAAACCGCATGTCGAGCCCGTCCAATGTAAGTCGTAATCACTACAATGTTTAACCATTTCAGACTTTATGTTTAATGCGAATACCCTTTACGCATGCAGATCTATGCAGTACAGCTAATTCTACAGGTATGACAGTCTAAAAATTCGCACGCGCACATCTTTGTCACCACCACTCATCGCTTTGTTTTACCAACCGTCAGTAACAAGCTTGATATACTGGGAGAATCCACTGAGTTCGGTCATCGTTCTCGGCACTGGTCTCGCCAATTGCCTTTTGTTTTATTACTATTCTATTTCGAGTATATACGCGGCAGTTGCATTCTTTGTTCTGTTCGGCAATTGGTTGTACGTTCTCGGATACAAACAGTTGCAACATCTGCTTGGGCGCGAGCCAAAGCATCCTTTCGAGTAAGTAGACTGTGCCTTAGTATAATGTTCAATATCACTTACATTGTAATATGGATGGGCTAAGTGTAATTGATATATCTACTGCTTATTTAGGCGTTTACTTTCAGAGCGTCTATTCGTCATACGTCAAGAACAGGTGGAAAAACATTTGGATGTATCGTTGCAAATTGTCAATTCCTTATCGAGCGAATACGCAAAAATTATATTCGTTGAAGATGCGTTTAGAACTGCCAAGGTTGATTATCTTTTCTTGTTTCTGCTAATGACAAAATCCGTGTTACTAAATTGTTAATCGATTGCATCGGGCATCTTTAGTATGCGGGTTGTGTGTTTGTGTTATGGTACCTTACCACATGGTTCTCAGTTCCGACTATTCTAGGACTCTGTAAGTAACTAGCTGTTCGATTCATGGATTATTTTATGTATACAATATGTATTAATACCAAGTCGACTGCGTATTAGTCCTTGTGGCAGCGTTTACGATTCCAGCCGGTTATAAAAACCACAAAGAAGCTATTGATAACAAGTATGAGTATGCGAAAAACAAGGCTAAATCATACAGCCAGCGGTAGGATACAAGTGAAAAAGTGTGGAATAATCATATGATTTATGTGTACTCATTATATATTACTCTATGTAGTACGCTTAAAGTGGCTTGCAATAACATGGGCGATTGTTACGAGAAATCCAGACAATATTTGGGGAAGAAAATTGCGCATACTGGAGAAACTTTGAAGAAAAAAGAATAACAAAGACTCGGGTAATCATAATGCTCTCGAATTGTGTGTTATTTTCTTTCCTTGCTTCATTCAGGGGTCATGCAAATATTCTGCCAATCGGCCAATATCAAATATGCATTAGTTGATGTAATGTTTATCTAAGCAATAAAGCTTCTCAAATGCACCAAATAAATCCCCGTGGTGACTACAATGGTTTTTTACTCCTAAGACAAAGTACACACTTGTTTAATTTTTTATTTTATCAATTGCTCGTCAACCGATGATGTATATAGATAGTATTGGAGAACTTCAAATTCTAAAAAGATGACTGAAACAAATAATCCTCACAAAAAGACGGTCCCATCTATGTTTTCTCCTCCAATTTGCAAAAAGATTACGGCAGTCCTTGATCGCAAGTTACTACATTTGTAAGAAGACGAGTATCCCGAACTTGTTAAAGATCGTCTCATTGTAAACCAAATTACTATTCACAAAAAAGAATTAAAGTAAATGATGTGTAAACAATACAGAATATATGTACAGGCATAAATTTTTATAGAATCTGGCAAATTCTATGTCACAAACTCCGACAAAGACATCTGAAATCGAAAACCATGTTAACACATTCTCTTCATCTTTATCTTTTCTCATTCCAATCATGCCCGCCTTACCTCTTTCAAGTTATCTTTACTTTCTTCACCATTACCCTAACAGTCGATACTTTCGATGAGATAAGCGACATGGTAATATATGCAGTCCCAACGGCAAAACATAATATCTCGAAAAGGATTATTAGGATCGCTGGATATATGAATATTTTGGCTAATAGCCAAGCGCTTTCTTGGATTATTAATAGCATCATCGAATACTGAGAAGCCGTCGGTTCCAGAATACAATAAAAGGTTGCAGTTCACGAAGGTTGGAACGGTGAGCAGAAGATGTAGATTTGGTGAGATAGAAAAGTGAGAGAATACGTGGGAAGAATATCGATGCTACACGGAAGAAAGTGTGGTTTTATCTCTTTTTTTTCTTTATTACGATCTATACTTTTATAGTCAGTGATTCAGCCATTAGCAGTGGGAATATCACGATCGGGTGATGGGCTTGTCTCGCTTGTTAGTTTCCCCTCCCTTTTTTCAGTTATTGTCATATGATATTAACATGTTGGGAGTATTTGACAATAATACTAAATCGTACATTATTCATTACTATTACTATAATTTTACTTCTACTGCGGTGCAACAAGTGGAAAACTTGAACCCACCCCTTTTTTTCCAAAATTCCCCCTTTTCCAAATCCCATTTGCAAAGAAGAATCAGTTAAAGCAACATGTTGACTTTTCGATCCGTTTGATATTTGGATCTCCCATTGCCCATCACTTAAACTGAGATTGTGCGAATATGTTGAATAAGGTAACGTTATAATGAAATTTTTTGATCGACCAATCGGACTATTGTGCACATAATAGCTGCAACGAAACGTGCTCATTTTACTTAGTTTTCTTAAATATACGATATTTTCTTTATTTTTTATCACAGCTTTACGGGAATGCTTTCGATTAATTTTTCTAATTACTTAGTCGAAGTTTTAACCATTCTAAATCCAATAAAGAATCTATTGGCCGTCTACTTTACACCCCAAAGCTCTCCCCCTGTTTGTAAATATAATGTACTGTGGTAAATATGTATATACCTTTATATTTATTTTTTATTCGTTATGAAAATGTATGTAGTATAAGCACAGCAAATCAGGGTTCATTCATGTGTGCTCAATAAAGAACCCGAAATCTTAATTGGTTTAAGATTATGACTTTGGAAAGGAATAGTAATTCAACTTGGGACGATTTGTAACCGCAATCCATCATATAGTCTGTGTTCGCATGTTTTATGCGCGTAGGCTCCATATAAGATTGCATGTTTTATGCGTGTTTTCGGTTTCCGCCATTCAAATACCGACAACCATAAACATATTTAAAGACATTATCCCCCAAACTCTTTAACCATTGCAATATTTTGCTCATTGAAAATTCAAATCGTAAACACATAATCTCTCCCCTCAATACTATCACCGCCGCCACCGCCACCGCCACCGCCAAACCCACCACCAAAAAAGGGTTCAAGCAAAAGGAGGTCCTCAGCTCCTCAACCTACGAATAACTCGTTAGCTTTCCAACTTATGAACTTAAGACCATATTGGAACGGAAAGTCGCAGCATGGTCTCAGGAACTGTGGTTACCCATTGTGACCGACTCTGCCATAGCCTCATCCACTCCCTCCATACTCGCTCGGGGAATCTTTCTCCGGGCATTGCTTGATGGAGCCTTGATTCTCTCCGGAGATCATGCGGGAAATAGTAGTAATGCCTTGATATTAATATGTTACAATCCATCCGAATTTTGTAATAACTGAAGAGTACGGGTCCGTACTGTTCATTTTGTATTTCATTTGAATTTCATATTGAGCGCGTTCCAGTTCTTACAGCACGTTTTGAGTTTAGTATTAAACATGGAGAATACGAGGTATTTCTGAGATGTAAATAAACTTACACGTTGTCTTTCTATTACTACTAGCAAATTTGAAAAAAATTTCCCAAGTCGATAAATCTATATATTAATATTAGTATGCAGTATCAATATGACAACCGCATGGAAAAACGAATAATCTCTTAGATAGGCATTACATGTTCACACGTGTGCAACGTACAAATGTTATCAGTATATTTCCCATACATTCATGCAATAACTGAAAAGCTAAAAATACTTAACCAGTCTTGATCTAATCCCGTCGAAACTTACGATGTTTACAAATAGATTATCTATTTCGAAAATAAGAAAATTATTACACATTAATATTAACATGGGTAAAAATGTAATCCCGCAAACCGAGAGATGTACATCCTTGTCACGTCGTGACTATGACTATTTATTTCTTCATGTGCTTTTTTTATTCGCTATTCGCTAAAGGATAGTGTTTTTATACAATTTTTTTCTTCCTTGAAAATAACTCAAATTGAGAGATTTAAATCACAACAACTTTAAATTAAGTGTTTAGCACTAATCAAAGTTTCAGTCGCTTCCTTATAACAAATTGTTTCACTCTCGGATGGTTTAGAAAAGGAAAATTCTTGGCTAAATTCTTCTTCCAGCGATGTAATGTTTTGATGGATTGTAGAAGTGTTTAGGACTTGACTGAAATTAAACTGTAGAGACTGCAGAAAAGTTATGTTTGGAATAAACGTATGATATAGACAATAGGGAATGAAAAGCGGACAATTAATATGAAGATGACTGAATCAGATGGATGTCATTGCCAGCCCACGTATTCTCAATTAGCGATGGAAAATCCAAGCTTATATTTTGGTTGTATTCGGTGTCGATTCACATATTCTCATAACGAAGCAGTTCGATTACCTTTTGGGGGACTAAACGTTAAAAATATAGCTTGTCTACATGTAGCCCGATCGGATATCAGCGCAATTCTTTCATAGTACTATTGAGAAAGGTGAGTATCAATGATAATTGTTTTCAGTTTCTTACAGCTTGTCTAAACGGCAAACCTAATACTATGAATCAATATTTAGAACCGGACGAGAATTCATTTGCTATCGAAAAATTGCGCTCCGTCTCGCGAACCTCTTAGCCACATTCAAGCTTGTGAATCAATGGATGACATGACTTTGGTGGGTGGGAAAAAATACAAATGCAACTTCTTGTAGCCTTGATGAATAATTCCGACAAAACGCTGCTTCAAGTAATGCTAAAGGCTAGAAGTACAGAAATTGCTTCGGACGTCAGGACACTTACTTACTTTATGGAATGGGCTATGATATTAGAGAAACCATCACGTCGTACATTGTGGTAATTCTTGCGTCGAGTTTTTATGTATTTGTTTTCTTTTGCTAATTCTCTTCTTCTTTTTCTATAGATTGAAAACACGAGAATTTGCTTTATAAAGACAGAATACGCTATTCGAAACTTGTTTAAAAGTGCGTGCGTCGCTCCCAGTTACACGGAGAAAGTGTCGAAAGTAGTAGTATGCTCGACGTGCAGTTTGGTGTATTAAGTGCAAAGACGTCGAGACTTTCCTTGCCTTCAGCTAATATATACAGATTTTCGTCACTCGACTGCATCAATACAATTGGTCTATTTGGGCAACGGATGGGTAATTTGAATATCAGTCCTACAGCCGTTACTATGGAATGTACCGACTTTATTCAGACGAAAAAAGCAGATGTAGAAAAGATTGCAGGTGGACCACGAACGGATGATGATATACTAAAGAATGCTTCTCCGATCCGGCTAGTATATGCTCAGACTGGGCAAATCACACGTTATATCGCACGGCTGATATGAACAGAGCATGTGGATGGCACACTTGTGAGTTTTATTTGTGTTGTTGGATACCGTTCGTTACGCGTCAAGGCTATGCAGCAATACTATGAAAAGAGTGGCGATAGATCTTTGAGGGACATGAGTAGAATGGTTCATCACTCGCGTAATACCATCGATAAATAGTTTTTCAATCGGAAGATTTCAAGCAGGCGTTGGCTCTGCTTTTATCCAGGATTCTTGACTTCATGAAGTGGCTATCGCGTCGATCAAGGTTTTAAATACCATTACTCAATGTCCAAATGAAAGCAATCACGGTGAAGAGTTGAGTAGGATAATATTGCCTCATTGGCCAACTGCATGGGTCATTTGGGAAAGAATTGGTTCGAGTATGAAAACAATGTTCAGGAAGCACGCATCATCCGGCCGATGCTGAAATTGACAATGAAGCTTCACCGTCCAGCGAACAGAGCTCGAATGTAGCCACGCATTTTTATTCAGGAATGATTAGCATCAAACTCATTACCAGTTTCACAAACGTACTCTATATTTAAAGGCAGCTAACGGTGAATGTGCACGATTTTATTTCGGTTATTGTATTTAATTTATTTGATTGGAAGAGGTAAACTCGTGAATAGAAGTATAAACTGCAAATTACAAGTTTATTCGAAAGAGTGAGTCACTAAATCGTAAGCAGTGTTTG